GTGTGTAACGAGGAAAAACCGGTCATTTACTCGGATAAAACATTCTGGGTTTGAATTTTAAATATCAAATTATACCAGAACATAAATTACGCTTTCGGATAAAAGCGGGACCTTTGAATCCTGTGTGTGTTTCCTTTTCAAATTAGGTGATGATTTTGGGGAAAAGCAAGAGGTGCCCATGAGTTACAGTTTTTAAGAGTTGGTGTGGTCCTGATTATAGTTGGTAACAGCAGAGATGCAACAGGATCTTTTTGCTTTGCTGCAGTTGATGTGTCTGGTCAGGTTGATTGGTGGGTTTTTTGGGGTAAGAAAGTCTTTATATTGAAGGCAGAGATTGTTTAGGCAGAGCCACCCACGAGTTTTTACTTTTTGGAAGGTAAATTCTCTTTGATAGAAGTGTTTTAATTTCAAGGGTAAAACATTTAGAAGAAAAATCACTATTAGCCAAAGATAAAATGATAAGAGCAGGGTCATAAGTGATGCTCCTTTTGGTTTAAACACTGACCTCAGCTGTGCATTTTTTAATGGTAATTTTTTTCATGTTTTGACCATTGAAGTGTCTATCCCCATAAGAATAATTAGAATTTTTTGACAAATCCATAGGTTAAAAAATGGACTTTTACAGTATGTTTTTCCCCCTTGTAATTATAAAGAAAGAGAAGCATTGCCAGGCATGATTCACAGTGAGATGTGTGTGTTCTCCTTCCTCCCCTGCCACTAAAACTTGAATATGGGTTGTCACTGTAACAAGTCCCCACCTGTTTCTGTCCTGAAAAGGAGCAGCCAGTGCTTTTTAAGGAGAACTTTCAGAGAAAATTATAAAAATGGAGCAACATAGATAACATCCTTTTCCTCTTTTTCTTTTCCCCTTCCCCACTCCCTCCTTCCTCTTTCTTTCTTTCCTTCCTTCCTTCTTTCTTTTTCTTTCTTTCTTTCTCTCCTTCTTTCTTTCTTTCTTTTTCTTTCTCTCTCTCTCTTCCTCTTCTTTCTTTCTTTTTCTTTCTCCTTTTCTTTCTTTCCTTCTCTTTCTTTTATCTTTCTTTCTTTCTTTTCTCTTTCTTTCTTTCTTTTCTCTTTCTTTTCTCTTTCTTTTTCTCTTTCCTTTCTCTTTCCCTTCCACTTTTTTCCCCCCCCTTACTCAGTGAAGTTTTAGTCTGGTTCCAACATCAAATCAGTGTTGGTGTTTTTGTTTTTGCAGGGAGGGGCTGTTGGAAAGGAGCGGTGGGGAATAAAAAAAAGTTGGTTTGCATAGCCCTGGGAAGAGACATTCCATGAATAATGCAGAAAATGGAAGGATGAGAAACATTTTCAGAAAAAGATTGCTTTGTGGGGCAGACAACCTCATTTATTCCAAAGAAAAGGCAACTCACACATCTCAGCAAAGCAGCAGGATTGGCTCAGAATAATGGGTTAAATTACTTCACCTCTCAGCTGTCTCTGATCTTGGGGGCCCAAGGCACATCAGGCCACTCAGAACAATTGGGCAGCCTGACACTAATTTAAAACACAGGCTCAAAGTATTGGTTGGCTCCTTAAATCAATTACTGCCTCTATCTGGAGGCTTCTGTGGGTGGGTTTTAGACGTGGCAAACAGGAGCCGGCGGAGTTTGATCGTGTGTGCCACAGCTCTTAGGTGGGAAAGGCACAAATCCATCCCTGCCCCAGCAAAGTTCGAGGGAGAAGAGGGAATATTTCAGGCAGATCTGGTCTTTACCCCCCCATGTTTGCTCAGAGCAGCGAAAATCCGGGGAAGTCTGCCTTTTGAATTCCCCGGCCGCGGATGGAGCGCGGTGGATGGGCTTTGAAAAGGCACAAAGGGATCGTGTGAGTGGGGTGGTTTTGGCTCAGAGAGCTCAGCTGCCAGCTGAGCGCAGGTGAGAGTTTCTGGGAACCTGCAGAAACGTTATTTTTTAAATATCTGCCCCCTTGAGGGACATCAAGGCCGTCCCCGGAGGTTTTTACCCCGTTTCGTGGCCATCAAACATTTCTACAGCTGCTCCAGTTCATCATTTCATTCCCAGCTCTCTCCAACAGCAGCTCTTCTGTCTCTGATGCACCACCAGAAATCCCCATAACAATATTAACTGGTGCTGAAGAAGAGGTGAATTGAGTTTATCGGGTGTAATTTGGAAGATGGGTTTGATACATCCACCTCCTGCTCTAAAACTGGTGTGTGGTCACCCAGCTGCAGGGCTTGGGTTGCTTAAGGACAAAAAAAAAAATGAACCAGCTGCTTGTTTTACGTGTCCCTCCACAGGTGGAGCTCACTGGAAACAGCATTTACGAGTACATCCACCCCTCTGATCACGATGAGATGACAGCTGTCCTTACTGCTCACCAGCCTCTCCACCCTCACCTCTTGCAAGGTACCTGTGATCAAACCACAAGTGAAAAAGTGAAAAAAAAAAAAAACCAGAAGTGAAAATTTCCAACCCAAAGCATTTTATGATCCCTTAAGTTTGTATTTATCCTGTTTGAAGATGTCCACAAAGGGAGGAGGAGGAACACAAACCTGAAACCACGAGGCAGGATTTTGGGTTGCTGCACTAAAAGGAATCAGCTCCCCCAGATTAAATAATGCCTCTCATGCCTCTCATGCCCGTGCAGTTTTAAACAGCTTTTTGGGTTTTGCCCAGTGGCCATTTCGTCTCTGTTGTCTTGTCATCACTGCTGAGGTTGCAGAAATGTTGTTGGCCTAACTGGGCACAGCTGAAGCTACATGGTCTTAGTGGAAAAAAAAAACCCACCAAAACATCAGGCAATCGGTAAATAGGAGGATATTTTTAATATTTTTGAAACAGCTGTTGAATTTGAAGCTTGGACAAAAAGCCAGACCTAATGCTCCCCACTGTAGGAAGAGTGGAATTGGGTTTGTAAACGATTTGAATTTAGAAACTCATTTTAAAAAGAGTTTTCTCCAGGAAAATAAAGTTCCCTTGCCTTGCTGTCACCCTGGCTGTGCTCATAAATATGGACACAACCCTTTTTGTGCTGTTACTTCAGTGCAATAACTACTATATATAACTGCTATAAAACTATGACAATAAGTCATTCTCATCTTTGCACCACCTTCTTCAGTAGCTTTTGTTTCACTGGGGGCAATTCTCTGAATTTTAAAATATCAGCCATAATCTGCCTCCATCCAACGTGCTTTCACATATATTTCATAATTGCTGAATCACTTAGAGCTCCCACCCTGCTAATTTATCCCAGTCTAAAAACAAGAGGCATTTTGGGTTTACACCACAATTCTATTTAGGATCAGTCATTTTTTTTCCACAGTTCTGGTGCCTCTGCATTTTCTGTGCTTGGTTCTGACTCCTGTGATTCCATCAGGGCAGAGCCACGTTCCCTCTGGATCCAGGGAAGGTTGGTGTGCCTGGAAGCACATTTACTGCTCTGAGTGGTGCTAATGGAAGAATTATCTCAGCCTCCTCCTCTTTTCTTCCTCCCCAGGCAGGTTGTCTTGGAAAACAAACTCCCTCGGGGGGGGGCTTGGAAAACAAACTCTTATTTTTCTGGGCCTCTTCTAGCTTGACTATTTCATAGCTACTTGACTATTTCATAGTTTGCTCAGGATATTTTTTAAGTTTGACATTTTTTAAGACAGGATTTTTTTCCCCTTTTTTCCTACCCTACTGATAAGCAGAGGAGATGCCCCCTGATATAAATGGTTTAGGGGTGATTTTGGTGGTGTTGGGTTGATGGTGGAACTGGATGATCTTGAAGGTCTCTTCCAGCCTTGCTGATCCTGTGAAATCCATGATTTTCATGCAGTTTTTCTGGTATCCAAAATTGCTAGTAGGATATTCTTATCCATACTGTCTTGCCAATGCCAATAACCTCTTGTTTTTCTTAAAATACACACATATATTGATTTATTATTGGACATTTTTACAGATTTAAAGTCACAAGGGTCTGATTGGAATGAAGCAAATAATCCCACAGCTCTTCCTGTTCTTCCCAAATATATCCCTCATTCTCCATACCTTTCTTTTCCACCCCCTGGAAAGATGCTGTTTAGTTATGAAAATCAGGCTCTGGTTTCTCATTAGTGCAAAGTTAAAGGAAAATTCCCTTGGAATTGTGACCCATTTTGGTTATATTTACTATAAAATTTTGTGTAGCAGAGGAGAGTGATAAAAACCTGCAAACAACAGGATCTTATTTGGATTCTTAGACCTGGAGAAGATAAATAAGGGAGTTCAGCTGTGTCCTGGTTTGTACAGAGATTATTTTATGGAAATATGGAATATTTTATGGAAATCTCTCCCCCATAAAATGCATGGAGTGGGTGTATTAAAAAAACCAGAATCTACAGTTAAATCTTCCTAAAATTGACAGAGTGAACAAATATTTATATTTTTTTTGCCTCCCCTGTGCCAGTAATTCCCTTTTCTGCAGTGTTTTATACATATGTATCTTGAGAGATAAACTTAAATCTTAATTATATCTTTAAACTACAAAATGCTACTATAATTTTTAAACTACACAAATCAAAGCAGGTTTCCTATTTTAATCCAGTGAAGACCTGAAACCTATTTAATAAATAGGTTTCAGGAATAGGGCAGGAATGAAGCAACTTCCATCTGTATCTGAGGAGATATTTTCAATATTTAGGTAAAAGATGGAGTTCCACAAATAACTTAGGACAGAGGGCAGTTGAGTGGAAGTGGCTTTATTTTCCAAAAAAAAAAAAAAAAGGAGGAAAACAGATTTTTTTAAAGAGAATTTTTTGTCATTTCAGTTTCTTTTTATATCTTTTAATCTTCTAAAACACGGCTGAATCATCAAGTCAAATAAAAACATTCCTTTTATAACTTTATTATGTTATAGATTGCTCCAATCTGGGGCATTACTTAGGTGTAAAATCAATATTCCACTGCAGACATGGATTTTTATATCAGAAATTTACAGCTTGGCTCACATAAAGGGCCCAGATATTTGGATACATGTTTAGTTCAGGTGTTATTTCAGCAGTTGTAGCTGGATAAGATCTGTTCTGAGAGGAATAAAATCACAAATGTCAACAGACATATCTACACTTTGTGGTATTCTGTTACTGGTATTAAATAACACCGAGTACAGATTATTTTTGACCTCCAGTTTTATGGTCTTTGTAAATTTGGATTTGACCTCTATTTATTTCGCAGGGAAATTCAAATTACTGCATAAAATCAAAGGTAGTAGGAAGTTCTTTATATAATCCTGTCACGTTGTTTTTTCTTCAGATAACTCACCTCGGTGTAAGAAAAAATTATATATTAGTTTAAAAGGCATAAACCTTCTTAAATTATTACATTTTAAGTTCGCCCTGGACTTCCTCATGTGTCAGGTAGAACAAGGCACACCCCAAATATGGCAGGTACATAGTTTTGTTTTTCTAAAAGACAGTGGAAACACTTGAATAATCACATACTTCCAGAAGCTGGGACTTCATAGCTAGATTAAAGGCAATAAGTTCTGGGAATGTGGATGCTGGTGAACTGTGAGGGTGGGGAGGGCCTGGAGTAGGTTTTCCAGAGAAGCTGTGGCTGCCCCTGGATCCCTGGAAGTGTCCAAGGCCAGGTTGGATGGGCCTTGGAGCAACCTGGGCTGGTGGAAGGTGTCCCTGCCCATGGCAGGGGGTTGGAACAGGATGATCTTTAAGGTCCTTTCCAATCCAAATCTTTCTATCATTCTATGATCTGTTTGGTTTATCAGCGAGAAGATTGGGATTGATTGATTACTGTGTGTACATATTTCCGAGGAAAGAAAATACTGGGAACCAAAGGGCTGGTTTAGAAGTAAAAAAACGTATCAAGGAGCAACTTCTGTGCACTGCAACCACAAAAACTCGAGTTGGGATAATGCATTCATTCATACCTGGGAGTCTGATTAACCACAAGAAGAAAACACTGAGGGAAGCAGTGATTTCTTCCAGTTTTGATGCCTTCAGCCCAAGGCTGCGGGTCAGAGAAGACAGAATTCAGGCAAAAAGAAGCTCAGCACGGGGGCAACAGGCTGAATTTTAATGGCCTGCACTGCCCAGGTCACAACTGAGAGCTCATGCTCCTTTCTTTAAGTCTACAAGCCCTGACTCAATGAAAGCCATAAGCCCCCTGATCTGGGGGGGGCTTTGGAGAATTTCAGCTCTGACTTAACAAAGTCTTTGAGCTGCCTTTTTACTTACGTGGCCAGGGGTGAAAATGTAAAGCAATATGAACTTTGCTACGAGAGAAGCCAACAGCTGGACTCTCTTTCTGAGGGTGGCTGGGGTGGGGAAAAAAGAATAATCTCCCTCACATACATATTCAAAGTAGAATATGGCCCAGTGAATCACCTCACCTGCGAGTCTTCAGGCCAACTTTGCACCAGTTGTAATGAAATAAATCCATTATATTTGACTGGGGTGAGTTAGCAGAAAGAAAAAGAAAGAAATAAAAGAGGAAAAAATATTTTGATATCGATTCCAAATTATGTGTCCTGGCTGTGCTCAGATCTCAGATGACTTCCCTGGCCCTTCACACCTTAGCAGATATTGCTGACTGTGTTTCTGGTCTGCAGCACTGTAGTGTGCTTTGGCTTAGTTTTGTACCTGTGAAGGCTTGCACCTCAGTTTTGCACTCCCTGTGCCACCTGTATTTGTTGTAAAGGCTGGTATCAGCATTCCTGGGCCTCTCTCTCAGGAAATGACAGGGCAATAGTAGTTTTTGAGTCCTGGGTACCTGCAAAGTTTTGTTTCAGACTGACTGTAGAGACTTGGTGCGTGTTGCAGACCTCCCCTCCTTAGTGTAGGAGGACTGTTAGGTGTTGGTTGTGGTGCCAGGCCAAATTCTGCCTAATCATCAAACTCCAAAATATCCTGAGTTGGGAGGGACCCACCAGGATCATCCAGTCCAAGCCCTGGCCCTGCCCAGGACACCCCAACAATCCCCCTCCATCCCTCAGAGCGTTGTCCAAACGCTCCTGGAGCTCTGGCAGCACAATCTTTGGAGGGAACAATGTGCCAACACAAGCTGGGCTGCAATCAGGACCTTATGCCCTCAAATGATGTTACTTTTAAAATATTTTTGTTGCTGAACTGTCTCTACTCACTGTTCCTGCAGGAAGCTTTCTCTCGGTTCACAACACAGAGTGGAGGGCCTGTAGCAGGGCAGTAACACTAAACCACCCATCTCTTGAGACTGCAGCTGGCACAAGCAAGAAAACAAGCAAAATAAAAGATATTTGAGGGTTCACCAAGACAAGGAATTAAACAATGCTGAGAGGGATTCGAGGAATTAATCAATGCTGAGAAGGTTTCAGCATTTTGTGCTGCTCTTCAGTGTGTTTCCAACCAGGCATTTTGTGTCTCTTGTTGGTTTCAATTGCTTTTTCTGAGATT